ATCGTATGGGAAATGAATGTTTGCTCTTCAAATCCCAGAAATGCCATGACATTTACCTCTCTTTGATCTGTGTGAGGAGAAGCTGGACCTGTGCGAAAGCTGTGATACGCTGCTAGAGCTCTTCCTCCTGATGGCGGTCTGCTGCTCTGGGAAGTGGACATGGATGGACTCCACTGATGCCGCAAGATTGACAGATTTCAAAGAGGCAGAAGAGTCTCTCCTGCCTCCTGTCAGAGAAAGCTCATCATCAGTATCCTCTTTATTACTGGAACTGTCCCCTTTCTCGTCTTCATCCCATAATCCATGGCACTATTGGAAAAAGAAGAAGAGAGCATCTCAACCTTGTATTTCTGTCACGGTATTTATCACAGGCACTGCTATGCTCAGTCATGTGTTCACAAGGGGGAAGATATTCATTGTGTTGGGGTATCATAGAATCACAGCATCATGTAGGTTGGAAAAGACCTTTAAGATCATGAAGTCCAACCATAAGCCTAGCACTGCCAAGTCCACCACTAAACCATGTCCCTAAGTGTTATGTCTATGCATCTTTTAAATACCTCCAGGGATTGGGACTCAACCACTTCCCTGGGCAGCCTGGTCCAACGCTTGACAACCCTTTCAGTGAAGATTTTTTTCCTAATATCCAAATAAGTGACTTCCCTATATCATGAGTGACTAAAAAAATTAAAACTAAAAATCAAATATAAAATAAGAAACTACATAAACTTAGATTACCTTTAAAATGGATCTGTGGAAGAATAAAGCAAGGAGCTGAACAAGATCATAGTGCACATAACCCTCTTTCTTCTCAATGCCAATAATATTTGGTGGGTGGTAAGGTTTATCTTTTGTGTAATCCACATATTTATTCCAAGGAAAGAAGCCAAACTGGAAGAAGTACTTGATGACAATGGCCACCTGTTCAGAAACACAACACACTTGGGATGTTTTATAAGCATGGCAGATATAGTAGCCTCCCAATATTAAGAGGGGAGAAATATAACTACTTTGTCAGTTTTATGAGAAGATAAACAAGAATATTCATTGCTACAGAGGAACAACACTTCACATCTCAATAACAAAGTCAATCAACATTTACCAACAGATACAACAGATGATGCTCACTGGTACCTGAGATATCACAAGCAGTGTACACTCTCTCTTGATTACCAACTATATAGTAGCTGTTTGCAAATGGTCTGTTCTTGTGATAACTGCTTTACATGCCAGGAAGGATATTGCTCATTGCAATAAAGAAAAACACAAACAAGACCTTTTCATACCACAGAAATTGCTGAGGACTTTAGTAAATATTTGTATTAATACGAAGGGCCAATGGCCCCTGATCCTAGAGATCAAAACCAGAAAAGAGACCATGCAAAGCTTACAACTTAATTTTTCAGTGTTAAACATGGGGTTGCAAAAACAGCAGCATACCTCAGTGTAGACAATGGCTGTCATCCAGAAACGTTTGCTTGGCCGAGGAACAGACAGCATGGCCCAAAGGAATATAAGGATGGGAAGCACCAGGGTTATCATGGAGGCAGAGATCATGTGGTTAAGGATGATCACAAAATAGCACACCATTTCTGATCGGGCCACCAGCGTATTGTACAGGGCATAAATAAGAAGCAAGACTCGAGGCTGACCAACATAGAACTTCTCTGACTCCTCCAGCTCGTCATCATGAAACATCCTGTGAGGAGCAGAGTACCGAAAATGAAATGAAAATGAATTTCACAACAACTGCTTTTTGAATTGCTACTATTTTTCCTTTTGAAAAAGTATAAAATTCTGCTGCTGAGTTCAATGGAAAAAAAAAAAAAAGATGGGATTTGGTATTATAATCAAATAGCCTTATTCTAAGCTCAGAAAACAAGAATTTCAGACAAAATAGCTAGAAGCACTATTTTGCTGTTTTTAAATTTACCCGGAGAGTTGGCCTGGCCCAAGAACTTCTACAAGCAGCACTTTCCTACAGTTGCCCAACCAACATATCTCATGTAAATCACACCATGCTGGTATGGCCCTGTCTGGATTCATATCTGATTTATCAACACAGATGAGAATTTGGAGAAACTTCAGAGGTTCATCAGGAGACATATATTATGACTAGTCCTGTGACATAAGATTAGAACAAAATAAATGCCCTTGAGCATTAAATGTGTCCAGTGTTCTCCCCTTTACCTAACTCAAATAAATATAAAAGGCAGCAAGAAATCACTATGACTTCCACATACATTCACAGTTCTCTTTGCTTTTCATAAAGAGTGCCCTGGCCTGAGGAGGGATCACACTGAAAAGCAAAAATGACTGTGGAAAACCAGAAGAAAAGACACTGCATCTAAAATGTCAGATCTACACAGCCTCTCTCTCTCCCTCTCCAGACGCAGTCAGGCTGAAAGGCATTTCTATGGTTTAAGATTTTGTCCTTGCATTCGGGGAAGCAATTAGCTGAGTCAGGCCAGAAAGTAGAGGAAGAAGAGCAGTGGCACCGTCCCCACCTCACTGCTTGCTGTGCTACTGAGCACAGTGTCTGAAGTGCAAAGAGGGGGGTGTCCTATCTCTTATGAAAGTACTTAGCAAGGTGAGCTCTCTAAATAGCCCTCAGCTCCTACTGGCTTAAACAAAAATTCTGCCAAAGGTCAGAGTTTCCCTTATAGTAATCCAAAATAATTAAAGGAGAAACATTTTCCCAGATAGCCCTGGAGGAACATTATTTGAAGTCACAGCTGCCTGGAGAAGAGAAGCCCTCTCCACGACGGATATTTAGAAAAGCCCTTGACCCCATGACAATTGCAGGACAGAAATCCGATACTAATTGGAACAATTAGCTATGGTATCTGGGGAGAAAGCAGAGATTCCTTCTAACATGAATTTGAATAATTTTAGAAATCTGTAATTAGAACAACTGCACAGGAAATTAGCTTCTTCCCTTAAATCAAATTTAGCGCAAGGTCTGTATCAGAAGCTGTAGGCTAGTTCTGAGACAAAAAACCTGAAGTAATGACAAAACTTCACAAACTGGGACCAACAGTTTTTCCCCGATGAAGGTCCTTACTTGTTCAGAAGCAGCTCACTAGCCGTTAGCTCGTGTGTCAATGGAGGGAGAATCGTATCATTAAGTTTGTCCGTCCGACTGTCGTCTGGGCTCACCATCATGAGGCTCTTACCAGCTGAATCATCTGGGGAGCCAAAGGGAAGGTGTTCAAAGCTGACAGCTTTGCTATAGGAAGGTGGAGCTTCTGCATTGCTATCCACAGTGGAGTACAATGGCACATCGGTATCAGGAGTATATGCAGCTCCTTCTGAACCCAGGCTATAATCTTCCACCTCCTCTTCCTCTGGCCTTGATGCAGAATGAGCTCCTTCCTCTTCATGCTCCCCTTCTACCTCCTCAATGGTTTCTGTCGTCCCCTGACGAGAATAGAGCATGGTGACCTGTGTAGGTTCACTGTTGGGGATGGGCAAAGAGAGAGAGAGTTGAGGCTTACAAGGCTCACCGCCAAGCAAACTTAGTTAATCGTACCTTTATGTAGACAGCTGAGCAACCTTATTGCATTCCCAGGCCTTCAGAGTTCATATAATCTGGTAGAAAATATATTATCATGATCTCCTCTTATACAGATGGACCAGCTGGGTCCATCTATCCCCTGAACAACATCCCAGTGAACTCACAGTGATTCACTGTCTTTTCACACCAGCAAAGAGCAAATGAATATCGTCATCAAGAGAAACTACACTAGCTTTCTGAAAATAGTTCAAAACAGTTTCTGACCAGAATGAAGACTTGCTATTACATCTTTTTAAAGCATGCTCCATAGTGAATGATAGGCAGCCGTCTAAACATGCTCCTTTTAACAACCACCATACGGGTGCTGTATACAACTGGAACATGAGCTGAACATACACATCAATTCTGACTTCAAATAAAAGAACAAGTAGATTGCTAACATGGAGAAATACAATCCAGACTACAAAACTGTTCCAGTAACGGGGTATCTTGCTTACCTTTAGATTGCCCTATGTTCTTCAATACAGTCTTCATTTTTATCTTACCTGCCTGCTTTTCTTCTGTATGCAACTATTTTCTTTTTCAACTGTTCTTACTCACTCTGTTCAGTTCTCTGCTTGTTCGCCTTGCTTATTCTCAGCTTTGCATGTCCATAATCACTTTCTCTCTTAATGCGCTGTGCTCTGCAACAGTCTCAGCTCATGTAAATTCATACAGCTTGATGACTCCAGATAGGAATCTGGGCACCATAATTTAAAAAATATTTTCTTGGCTTTGCTTTCACCCTTTTCATCCCTCACAAGTATTTTTTCACCTCTCCCCTCGAACATCACTCTTTCTCTTTTTAGTCTCTATTCCAGTCCTTCTCCATAGGTCAGACAATAGGCATCAACTCAGTGTCTTTTGTTGGCTGCATGTTCTTGTATCTCAACAGAGACGAAACCAGATTTCACATATGAAATGAATCAAGAAAACTGGCACTGGCAAAGCCAGCTGGCACTACCACCTCCTGCCAAAATTAAAAATCAAGTTCCATCTCTCTTTCTGTTACACTGCTTCCAAACTTATTGCGGCTATGTTAGATCACTTTATTTCTAGCAGACTTTTAGTTAGAATGTGTAACACTATTATTAGGATGTGTGTTTTGATGATTCACGGTAGCACTCATCCTGGTTAAAATGCACAAAACCATAAAATCCCATCATTTCAAAACTGATTGATGCCAAAAATTTGTAAAACACTTTAAATGCTGAAAAAGAATGAGCTAATATGCCATAAAATTTCATATTTATAATAATTATAATACTAATTGAAACACTGTTTCCCAATATCATATAAACCCCTGTTTTTTACCTCCTAAAAAGTGAGCGAATGGCTCTGAACGGCTCTATTTTGCACTGGATATTAATATTATTCACTATCTTTTCATAGCTATTTTCCCTTTCTTAATTCCAACACCTCACAGACCGTAAATCAATGATAATAAAAACATATTTAGCAATCTTTCCTATATGGGGAAAACTAAAAACTGACAGAGCAGGGCCAACATTTACCTATCTTAGTTTCTAAAATTAGACATTGAAGTCCACATTTAGGATAACTGATTAGCTGAGAAACTTCACTTTCAGCTTCCAGTTTCAATAAGAACAACCACCAGCTCGGTAACTCTGAAAATCAGACTCTTTTTTAGCTGAATAAATACAGACTTTAGCCTTGTTTTAGACAGCCACTGTAATGTAATGGAACAACTTTTAAAAATACATGAATTAAGGGTGAAAAACAAAACAAACCAAAACAGAATAAGAAGTGAAACAGCAAAAGAGTCCTAGATCATGACCCTGACTTCGAACCTCAGAATCGTGCCACAACACAGGAGGGAGCAAAGCTTCCATCAACCATGCAAACCGCTCTGTACACCACATATCTGCAAACGCAAATTTACGTACACTGCAGTAAGTATAATGGTATGGGTAAATGAGTGAACAAAGCATGCATGAGTTAAGCACCTTGACACTATACTGCCACTGTCAGCTGATGAGGAGGACATATCCATGCTCTGCATTTTACGAAGCCTAGGTCGAGCGCGCTCACTTGTTTTAGGAACAGTGTCTGGTCCATCTAAATCATCAAGGGTTGACTGCCTTGAGAACAGCATGGTTGCTTCAGTGTAGCAGCTAGCAGCGCAAATAGTTATAAAGACAGTGTTAAATACAAATGATATTACTATACACATGGTTCAGTAAACAAATATGCTCGCCATGCAGCAAAACACTGACACAGAGAAAAAAGGTTGAGAGAGAAGATAAGGATTTGTTTAGAGTCACCATGGAAACACATTTCTACGTACAGATTGCTCATGGTCATGTTCCTGTAGGGGCTATAGAAGGCTAACAACCATCTATTCACTATTCGAAGAGATATGAAATCAACACAATGCTCTACATGCTTTCCAGGGGCACCAACTTACATATGTGAGGAGGTTTTATTTTCTTTGTTTCCCCCTGAAATTTCCAAATTCCACAAAAATGTTTTGGGAAGTGACCTCCTCTGTACAGATTCTATTTTATTAATGATATACTGTGCTGAACCTTTTTACGCAGGTACAAGCCAATTTCCTAAAAGAGCCCTTAAAACTGAATAAGCTCATATTCCACAAATAGAAAAATAGCTGTCAGACATTGGCTAATCCCCTTTCCGAACCAGAGAGCCAAATCGGATATGTTACTTAGCCAGTAGATGCATGCCAAATATAACCTGCTCTGCATGGGATGGCTTTTATTTTGATATGAAGTAGTAAGCCGTGATGATTCGTTCCAGAAGATTTCATAGATTTCAATCACAGCTTAAAAACTATTTCAAAATTGGTAACATGCAGATCTTGAAAGAAAGAACAGATATAATAAACCCTTATCTCCTTTCGCTTATCAAATACAACAGGACACCAGAGACATACACCATACATTGAGCATTTATGTGTTACTGGAGAAAAGAAGAAGAACTGGATGAGTTATGAGAAAGAAAGTACGTAATTAAATACAAGCATATAACATAGCAACAGGAAAAAAAGCAAATACATTAATGACATATGGTAGGTAAAAGAATTATTTCTCCTGTAAAAACCTTTGGAAAACACAGATGTCTATGAAACAAGTTGAGGGACCTGGTATTTTAACACATGCAGTGACCTGTCTGAGTCTCTCAGATAGAATGAGAGAAGAAAGGACCCCAAAACACAGGATCTACACTTTGCTTTTCTTCTTTTGAGTCCACCTGTGTTACACCTGAGCAGCAGGAGCAGGGGATTTGCTTCCTTGGCAAGCACTATGTTTGTCCAGGGGCACAAAGAATTGCAAAAGAGGTCAGAAGGGAAGTGCAACGGCGTTTTCCGTGTTACTTTGGTCTTGCTAGCCTGAAGTGAGGAAAAAAATCTGCTGGCATGAAAAGATAGTTTGCAATTATTGCTTTAAGGAAAATGGGGAGGAAAACAGCAAAATACGTGAGGCGAAGAAGCAGTTATTCTTAGGCCTACACTCACTGATGGCCTTTTTTGGCAGAATGGGCTGAGGCTAAAAGCATACTTTGGGCTTTGAATAGAAGAAAAGTGTTACCAAGATGCCAAAGGTATTGTGAAATAATTTCCTTAAAACAGCATTAATGGCAGGGGCACCTCTGTCCTGCCAGTTCATTTGGCCAAGACCCTTTACAAGCCACTTCATTATTTCTGTGTGTGCGCAGAGGCACACAAGCATCCTCCAGACAAAACCTGGAGGGCTGTCTGCATGGAGCGGGGTTTTGGGGAAGCAGGAAATGTTGCTTCCTATAGGAACAGAAGATCCACCCCAGAGGCCTGATTCAGCAGCATGGAAATCAGTTGGATCTCAGTGTTACTGACTCCAGGGGGTCATGAGGGAGGAGGTTTCCCCTTGCACATACACCTATGGAGTATAGCCAGGTGGTTGTACTATCAGTGAGGTTTTGGGGCCAAAATATACAGAGATGGCAGCGAGCAGACAATCTATTTTTGCAGATTAACTTTCTGTCTCTGTGCTACAATGTTATCCACATGTTATTTTACATCTCAAGGGCTGAGTTTATTCTTTTCAAGAGCAACACCTCTTTCTAAGGTGTTGAAGTATTTTAAATGCAGACATAGTTCAATGGGAACCTTCCAAGGGCCTTAAGCAGGGCAGCTGTTGAAATCAGAGAAGCACATACTTTTTCATATATTTTCAATGGAAGAAACATATGCCAGCTACCCTCCAAAACATGTAAGTTCTGACCTGGGTCCCGGAAAAATCAAAGGAAAATAATTTATTAATCCCAATAGACAAAAACATTTGCCCAGAGGGAATCCCTGCAATAATTTTGTTTAAAGCTGTTTTAAATGAAGGATGAATCATCAGAAGAATTGTTGACTGAGGAGCTGCTCTGTATCCTTGAATGTCAGGAGATGTGTATCAGACGACACCTGCAGCACAGTCCGTATGTTCTTTATGTACTTTAGGAACATGCTTCCGAACATGGAGAAAAGGAGAACACCAGTAAAGTGGAGAGATTTATGCTTGGCAAAGCTGATGTTGACTCAGTCATTGACTATCACATAAATTTAATCCAAGTATATCTTCCTGAGTGACTTTTCAAATTTGTGTCCTTGACGACCTTGAAAAGCATTAGCTTCTTGAAATCATTCAAGGACTAGGTATTTTAAATTGAATGTTCATTAAAAGCCCCAAGTTCAAGCATTTTATATACACTTGATCTGGTATCCACTTCAAATGGGGATATATATAGCAGGGATGTTTTTATCCTTGGTGAGTGGGAATTTTCTTACTTTATGACTTCCTTATTGCTAATTTAATTTACCCTTGCCAGAAAGTTTATTAGTTTAAGGGGTAACTTACAAATTTTCTTTTTTTTTTTTTTTTTTTTTTTTTCCTATCCATGGGCTAGTTACTGACTGGCATTACCTTTATGAACTACTACACTCCCCACACCTGCAAGCAAAGATCCCAGACATTTCCTGTCATTCACACTCCAACCAGACAAAGATCCAGCCCCAAACTGTGACTCTTCTTTCATCCTTTCTCCTGCCTCCCAAGGAAAACATTACTTCTCCAGTACTCCCTCGAGCCCTATTCTCCCATCTGGTGAGGGAAGCATAGGTGAAAACTGGTGAAAGTGGTGTCTGTAAACAGCCTGACTGCACTTGAATGTTCGCTCTTACAGGAGCGCCAGGGGCTCCCTTCTGCAGCTCCTATAAAAGCCTACACACAGGTAGATTTGGGAGTGGAATACATTATTTGTGACAGACAAAAAATAATGCAAACTAAACTGGATACAAGACCTTGGATATCCTGAAATCTGACTTAGGACCTGCACCTAGCTGCTATTTTGTAATTGTAGGCAAAGTCCCATGAAAGCAGCCAAATAGTTTTAGTAAGTTCCCAACCATGTTACTGGAATTCCCAAGCTGTTTAACCTAATAAGTAGTTTATCAGCCCAATGGAAACAAACAGCAGCAAATGCTCTACCATGCCATCTCCAATCCCTGCTGCTGGTGCTCCTCAAAGAGCTTGTTAAGGATCAACATCAGTCTATTCTCCTCCTGGCCTGCAAGAACTTTGCACTTTGCCTTTAGGATACAGGAAAGTATTTATACATAAAGAGAAACCAAAAAATTACATTACGATACCTCCTTACAACTCTAGCTACTGTATAGAAAAATGTTTGAGAATAAATGACAGCCGTCCTAAAGAGAAAATCCCACAAAAGGTACTCTGCAAAACTCCTTTTAGAACTTTATCTAGAGTAAGAATGACATCCCTGGATAAGATTTACAAGGGTCAGTCCTGAACCTCAAAAGAAATTTACAGTTTGTGCAACTGATCAGGAGGATTGCTCTCTCTGGAAATCCAGTGTTTAGAGCACTGAGAAGATACCTACAGTAATTCCTGTCCTGCATACTGAAGAATATGGTAGTATTATAATGGAATAGCTTCTGTGCTTCTGCAACCCCATGTACGTCCAGACATGCCCATATTACTCAAGGATCTAATGTCCACTACAGAATTTTGTGTAGGGCAAGCAAAGAAGGATAATCAGAATGCTGGTTAGAAACCCTCTAACCCCCTTCCCAAAAGTTTTCAATTGCAATCCTAGATCCATGACCACAGGGATGCTTTAGATTTAATTAGTTGCTTTTACATTTACTGGAAATAATTACTTTGAAATGTAATATGCCCCCTTCTCTTGTTTGGGCAATACAAAAAAAAAAAATCACTCAGTGACCTCACATGAAATTTAAAACATTTCTCATTTCTAAAAAAGCTCATAAGCACTTTTGTAATCCCAGGAAGAGACATGCAGGGGTGTCCCAGTAAACAGGTGGCATTATCATTCAATCAACAGACTCATTTTTGCTTCCTCTCATTACAGGTCATTATTATTACAGCAGATGTGCACAATTTGTAAATACTCTCAGTGCAAGAATATTTGATTGTTCATTACCAGAAGATTAGAGGAATCAGCCATAATACTGCCTTTGCTATTCCTTTGTTGATAGGTCCTGTGACATCTTCTGAGGAAATGGAGAAGACAGTAACAGATGTGAAAGTTTTAACTTTTTCTGTTGCAAAGCAGCTCCACAGAATCACTGAATTCTCTGAGTTTGAAAAGAGATTCTAAGCATGTGAGTATGTTCAAAGCAGGGTGACAAATGGGTGGTTGTTGTGAAAAAAAAGATATAAGTGGAGCTCAACACTTGGTATCATCTCATTGAAGAGGCAGAATTTACACATGAAAATGACAAGAGTCGTCTTTCTTTTTTTATAATTCATTTTGGAACTCTTTGCTTCTAGTTAAATTTCTTGCTAACATGGTTGTACAATAATGATAACTTCTATCTATAGTAAACTGTGTGACTGAAAACTATTTAATGAAAGCAGGACTGATATTACTAGTCTTTCTTTAGGTGAGAATGAACTTTGCAGAGTTAAATTCTGCCCTGCAGATATCCAAGCGGCTCCAAGTGAGCTGGTAATAGAATTTGGCTTTACATTTTTCTCACGTCATCTGACTCCTGTAAAACTTTGAGACAAAACACAAAGGTGTTGCTTAGCTGGGTAGCTAGCCATTGAGAAAGATTTGCTTGCATTCGGTGTTTTTACTGGAGTGAACCTCTCCAAGGCCAGTGCTCACCGTGGGGAGCAATTTGTGAATATCTTGTTGAAGCACAGTGCTCTCAGGTACTCTCTTACACTTGCTTTTCAATAACATCAGAGAGACAGACAAGCCCTCATTATTTTCCTTCTGCTAACATCTACCCATATGTCATTAGTAAAAGCTAAGCATAATTTACTGTACACAGACGCTACCGAGTTTGCTGGGAGTATCAAACACAGTACGATACTGCCGCACTTCAGAGAAGAACAGGAGACAGCAGAATGCAACGGATTATGGAACAGCTGGGTTTCCTAAGCCCTCCCTTCTCCCCCTCATGTTGGGCAATTTCTGCAGTCTCTTAAAAGTCAAGACCACCAGGGACACGGTGGGAACAGGCTGCCTCTGTAAGAGAAGGAAGGGAATGTGTGTGCCTCTGTGCACGCGGAGCAACAGGAGCATGCAGTAGTTTTGGCAAGGGACTTGGTGGCATCCATCTTCAGAAAAGAAAGAGGAAGGTAGTTTTCCTGAACTAGTATGGGCATTTGATCCACAAAACGTGTAGCTCTGCTGGACTGTAATCGTAGCAGCTAGGAAATCAGGCTCTTCAGATGATCTTTGCCCTGAGTGTAGGAGAGGGGAATTTTGTTCTCTCAAATCCACAGTCTCTCTCAATGCAAAACCTTTTTTGATTTGTGGGCCACAGGCAACAATTTATTTTACAAAGACAAAATATTCACAGTGAATGATCATTCCCCAAACTCCACACCTGAATTTCCAAAACAGTATCCCATAAGCAGCCCCAGCAGGCTCTTATTTTCCTTTGCTTCTTACAAGATCAGAACCCCTGTCAATGACTCCTAATTCTAGGGGAAACAGAAAGCAGTGGGGTAGTCATGCAGTGGAAAAGAAGTCAACAACTGAGTCCAACACAATAAAGGGCTAGTAATATATAGAAGAGTTTTCACTATTAAAATGGCATGGATAAATCAAAAAGAGGATTCAACACTGATGAGAAAATTCATCAGTACTTGGACATTATCTAAAATTATGTCTACTGCATGATCCCTCTATCTTTCACAAAATAAAATTAAATCAGTACCTGGAGATACTGTCACGAGAAGCTGCTGAATCTAAACTATCCATTCTTTCAGATGCTTGCAAACCAGAAGCTTGACCAGGATTTTTATCAATTGAGTCCAGTCCTGACTCCTTGGAAAGTTTCATCATGTGGTTCTGGTAATACATATGGATGCTCTCGCGCGTTGGAACATTTCCCTGTGGAAAAGAGTAGAGGTACATGGTAGTGCGGACATGTATTCTTTGAGGAACTGGCTTCTGTCATTTGGCAAGGAACAGATTAAGGACTGTGCAAACAGCCTCCTAGTAAATAATAACCCTCCACTGGTAGTTCCTTTTCAGAGTGCAAGTCAGATTCTGACTTAAATTACCACAGCAAAACTGGAGCAATGCAAGGAGTTTCAGGCTATATACCACCATCAAAACTCTTCTGGGCGGACTGCAGATCATTCAGCATGAAAATGAGGTGTGGGCTGGGACCAGGACTCCATCTGTACTCCAGGTACAGGTAACTTTTGAGAGATCTCTTTTAGCTAGCTTCACTGACTCTAAGAACAATCATACATCTTGTTAGTGGTCAGTAGCAGGTTTTTTTAAACAGAAAAAAAAAAAGAAACAGGCTATATACAAACTGATCTAGATTTTCATTAATGTCCCAAAATAAGAATTTATTCATGAAATATGGATACAGTCGGAAAACCATGAAAAACACACTGAAGACCTTCACTCTTTCTCTGTGACTTCAAGATCAAGCAAGTTCATGAAAGGATGTTTTTATTAACTGTCAGCCCAGATCTGGGCACAGAATCAACTCTTTCTAGCTATGATATTGCAATCATAATTCTAAAGGCATGTCATAAGAATAAAACTGAGAATTTTATAGCCTGTTCTTAGGCAGAAACACATCCAACTCATTCCACTAGCAGTTGCATTGACTTCAGAAGATGATACACTGAGAGAGAAGATTGCTATTCTTGAACAGCCATTTTTCTGACTTATAATGAAGCCTTATGCAAGGACTTTTTCCAGCTAAAATAATGAAAATACTCTAAAATACTGCATGTATTCCCTTTACTAATATTATTAGTTACTAAGTATTTCAACTCTGGTCCTCTACACTGTCCCAAATCTAAAATTTTCAAAATATGAAGTTTTATAAAAAAACCCTCTTAAGAACAAAATCTGAAACTCTGGATTTTAATTAGTTTTGTTTGTATACAAGCTGTGTTGCTTCTGCAGTAATAAATGATTGTGCCATTACGACACACGCTACATTCTAGCTCGACTGCAGGCCTGGGATAAAGGACAAGAGCTGTGACAGCAAAAGGGCCCCACAGCTGATGGAGGACTCAATTTCAGGTTCTTCTGTAGGTGGAAGAGAGACCAAAGGAACTTCACACATCAGGGTAACTGTCCCTGACTCTGCATTGGACAAAGAAATGTGTCACCATGATGGCTGCAGCGAGAGCCTCCTTTCTTGGGCAGCAATGACAGGCATGCGGCTGCTACAGAGACTTGGGGATGCTATGCAAGAAGTGATGCTTCTGATGTTCATGGGTACCAATATTTCACAGAAGAGGAGAGAAAGAGCCTAGAAAAAAACCTGAATTTTAAAGCTATTGACTGTGGGGAAATGATTTGAATTTGCATCCCTCTTCGCTGCAGAAGTCACTGACATTCCCAATAGAATAACTTGAATCCCATGGAATGACTGGAGTAACTATTTTATAAAAGACAAGTCTGAGAAGAAAATAATAAACTGAGCACTGAATGGAAAGCGCTCACCCAAGAGCTCTGTAGGAACCAATGGATGAAACAGTGCCAGGAGAAGAGAAGGTAACACCAATCCTTAAGCATGGCTTCAGGAGTGATCCTGAGTGACCCTTGTAAGAAATTAGTGGTCATGAAATAAAGCAGACTAATCTATCTCTTGTACTTCTCCTCTATTAAAAGACCGGAGAGAAAGGACACAAATGTTTTTTTCTTTACAAAGGAAGAAGGTAATTGACTGGTTCCCCCAAGGAGTTTTACTGTCCAGCATATTCAGAAACAATCTGTGTAAGGAGAGAAACAGCGATGTGATAAAAGTTTGCAGATAAAAAAAAATTCTCTGGGATATTCAAGTGTAAAGTTGACTGAAGTACTACTGAAGAATTTGATAAAACTGAGTGACTTGGTAAAAATGGCAAGAAATGCAATGGGAAAAAGAACTTAAATATTATGTACATAATAACAAGCTTTATGTCAGCTTTTGTTAGCCGTAAAGGTCTTGGACTCAGAGTATATAGTCCCCTGAAAATAAACAGCATTCACTAAAAATCAAAGGAGCTTGACTGTTAAAACTTACTAGGAAAGCAAAAGAAAACACATCATACTCCTGTATAGATCTGTGATTTACCCACACCTTGAAAACTGTGTAGTTCTGGTCATCCAGTCTTAATAAGGCCATATGAAAACTGGAAATTGTATGAAGAAGGACAATAAAGATGATGAGAGGCACTAAATGGATGCCATGTGAAGAGAGGCTGAAAAGAAAGGGAGTTTTTAACTTGGAAGACAATGACTGAGGAGAAGACTCCATGCAGATTTATACAACCAGAAATAGCAGAGGAAGACGGAATACATCTCTGATCTAGAGGAGACCCCAAAACTACCAGGAAGTGGGTTTAAAATGAAGGAGAGGAAGTACTTTTAAACACATCGTATGGAATGGCACTACAGAACTGTGTATTGTAGGATCTTCTGGAAGCCAACATTAAAAATAGATTAAAAAAGGACTAGTCAAACTCCAAGAATATAGATTCCTCAGTACTATTAAATGTAATGATCCAGATGCAATTTCTGGTTTAGGGAGCCCTAAACCATCCATTTCCACAAGCAGGGACATATCCAAAAGCAGGGTTTACTCTGAATATGCCATGTTTCTCTTGCTCTGTTTTGTTTACTTATGTATTTATTTGCTATTATTATTCACTTACTATTGGATATCTTGGGGAAAATAATAGTAACTAAACACTAACACTGAAGCAGCCCTCTCTTTGTGGTGAGTGCCTCCTGGCCAGACTGGGTACAGATTCCCCCTAGCCAGGAGAGCCTGCCTCTCAAACCTCCTGGGGTGGTGGGCAGCCTGCTTATTGTGCCAGCAAGCATCCACAAAGGCTGGGCATTATGGTGCTTTATTAAGGTCAAGAGAACTAACGTGGTGTTGACCTTTTCTGAGACGGTCTGCAGCTTTTGACAAAAATGGGAAAGAACTAAAAATGAGGCTTCTATGCCAAGTTTCCAGAAAAAGTTGGGTAGCTACTGACATATGTAAAAATACCTGTGCTTAAAATGAGAGCTTTATCCAACTTTGAGATATCACCTACTTGCATTTTGAAAACTCAAATACGTTTCTACTTACACTATCAACATTAATCTTTGACAATAATGGGTTTTACTAATATATAATTAGTTTGTGGAGGACCACATAGCTTCATTGAGAGCGAAAAAAGTTATGCCTGTATGCTGTCAGTCATTTCCAAGGCAAGTTGGTTTACAAACCGACTGAAATATGCAGACTGAGGTAGTTTCTGAGCTGTTTAAAATGCATTGCTTTCTCCTCTCTCCTTGAATCTATGCTGTCCCCTCAAAACCACACTTTATCACAGCAGAATTTCAGCCAAATCCTTATATCAACCTCTCAAGGAATTACTTTTTGAATAATTTGTTTTGTGTCCTGCTAATAAATCAAGTAATTTATTATTTATATATTTATAAAACAGCAAGCAGTAAAAGCGACCAGACCTATTTTTAAAATGCACACATAAGTGACATTTTTATAATTTTTTCTCCATTACACAGTGATCTGAAAAGACAGCCTTTCGTTTTTCACTGAGCTGGAAATGGCATTAGCAGACAAAAAAGACAAAGGCGTTACCTTCTTAATCTCCCTGGTCAGCATACAGCGCTCGATTCTTAGCACAGTGGAGATATCGATGTGTTCTCTTGAGATGGAATTAAGCCAAGCTGTAAAACTGTCTAGTGTTGCCAGGAAAAGGACCCAGGTGAACTTCAAGATATTAAATATCCTCTTGATGATGTTATCTAAGGGAGAGGAAAAGCAACAGAAAGTTAATGAACGCAAATACCCTTCATTGTATTTCTGCTTGGAGTTAAGATTCATTTTTCCTTTATTGCCTAATAATAATAATCCAGGCTGCATGACCCTGTCATAGTAAGGAATCTCTGAAGATGGCTGGAGGCCTTTTGGCTGTCTGGGCCATTTTCCTGCCTGCACGTCTAGGCTTATCATCTGGAATCCCTTTTCCACCCCGTAAGTCCCCGGTGCTGCAATCGCTAGTCATATAAACAGTCCCTGCTTTTAGAGAGACGCCGTATGCACAGGTCTGCAAAATGAAACCCAAAGATTTGGGCATCTCCTGAGAGCTATGCAACATCCCCAGCTCCCATGATCTCAACAGCTGCTCAGCGAGCATTTTGAGCTGAGCCTCTTACCTGTATATTTACTCATGCATACTTCCCTCTGCACAGAGTTTGTCTTTTAGGCTTGAACCTTGCTTAGCTGAGTTTGGAAGTCTAACCTGCCTGAACAGTCGTTGAATCTCTTCCACTTTTCCAACCACCTAAACAAACCTCTTTTCATTTACTGTTTCCAAAGCCACTCTTTTTTTTTTTTTTTTTTAAATAGGCTGCACTGTGTCATCAGCGATCTCAGATCAGCTAGCCCAACTAGCACAAATCTTATAAATAATTTATAAAAAAATACTCTTGCACCAAGCAAAGTGTGCCAAAGCAATACACTCTCCCATGAACAAGGCTTATGGTTTTATACCAACAATAGTAACTTTATTTTGTTCAATACAGCTGTCTCAAACTATTTTCTCATTTCAGTAGTTCCTTTATCAGCAGCAGCTGCATTTCTCACCCAAAAAGCAGCACTTTCGGCTTATTTTTCTTCTACTCGCAAACATACACACCACACTACAGTTCTTATATAGTGTTGCACAAATGCTAAAAAATTTCTTTCCAACTAGCCAGTTCCAGAGCTAAGTTGCAAATCCCAGATCACTAGCTACAAAGATCAATTTTAGAGTAACCATCCTAAGAAATAATAGAAAACTCCCAATAAACTGTTTTTCAGGGACAAAATGGTTGAAGCAGATACTAAGGAGCCAACCTATGTGCTAAAGCATGATGCATTTAACAACCTCACTTCTTAGCTGTACCACAAGATGGCATGCAAAACTTTGTGGAGTGCACGTTAGCTCCCTACAAAGGCTGCAAAGGTGAAGCTATAATAAAGCAAAAGATTTCCTATGGAGCAACGTGCACGTGTCTCTGGGTGTGCAGGCAGGGTTGTATGCACATAGGTTTGGAGAGAAACTAAGGAAAAAAACCCATTAGTGGTACTTTTCTGTAAGGTTGATGCTGAAATGGTAGAGCGTACCATCTACCTGAGCAATGCCATGGAACTCGTCTAGTATCTCTGAAGGTGAGAGCATTTGGCCTCCTTCACTTGGTCATATAATTATTTCAATAATATTTTGCTCTTTTTTTCAGGCTTTTTCTATGTCATTTAGAATTGGAGATATTTTATGACTTATCTACTTAAATTTCATTCACTCATAATTCAATGTGCAGGTCTTGAAGCTAAGGAAATCTTGCCACTGGAAATTAAATGTAAGGCTGTTTCTTCTTCAAGGAGAATTAATTTCCTTTGAATTACAGATAATATTATGAATAGGTTACAAGAAAATGTACCACTTATACACAAAATATACAACATATAAATGTTCTTTTTTTAACTCACACTCTTCTCTAATATATAATTTCTGCTACTGACTTCAGGAGAATCACAGGTCTCAGGTTAAAATTATCTATTACTGACCACCACTGGCATGCCACAGTCTCACCACAGTGCTTTGCCAAGCACCTCCAGTCTCATCTGAAAGGTCATTTTTCTCTCTGGGATGGAGGTGATGTAGTATACATTTTTAATGATGCTGTAGCTGTTCTGGCAGCTTTGTTGTTCTCCAAAACTTTTTAAAAATAATCTTTTGGGATCAATTGCATCTAAGCATCTTTTAAAAGGGAAACAAATATTTATTTTCTGCAGAGATTGTTATTCTAACTTAAAGGGTCAAATGCAGAGAAGGCTTCTCTCTGCCTGGGAGTGTGAGACAAGATAAGGTTAATAATAATACTAATGCTTCATTAACAATTACCGTCTCATTTTTCCAACCATCTTTAACAAGTGTTTCAACACGTATTTAAACAAAAATACAAAGCACCTTACATTGATTATTTCCAATATAAATTAATTATTATAAACCTCCTTATCTTTGCCTAACTCCTGTGTAGCACCAACAATATTTCTCTAGGGATGCGTTTGAGTGATTCACTTCAGTGTTTTAACACAGGTAGCTGCATTGCCAGTAAGTAACAAATAAAAAAGCCCCCCAACCCCCCCCAACCCTCCCCCCATAGCAATACAACTCATTTACCTGAGCCCACTGCTCTTGTAAGAAAGAAACGACATCTCCCACACCCGTGTAACATCTTCTACCCTGTGGCTCACTCAGGGATACAATTCTAACTGGAACTGTGGGAACCAATTTTAAACAGAAAAGAAAAATAGCTTTTGAAAACAAAGTCTCACTCAAGGTAAGCCATGATGAAGACTTACTCAAGAGGAGAGTCTGTTGTCTTCTTTTAGTCCAGTTAGAAACAAAGAGCCAAGCTTAGATTTATGATCTATTGCACTTCTTTGTAGGAAAACTTTCAATATGGGCAAGATCTTGCAAACAGCTGGCATTTCTTCTGTTGTGCAGAGCATCCTTAAGTCTGATTATAAATGAAAACAGGTAAGATTGGGAAAATCCCATTTTTTTAGAGGAGATGATTGCACCTTGCTGAATGGGTGAGTACCAGACAAAAGCATTATATTAACTTTGCTAAAACACACTGAAAAAACACAAGGTCTTTGTGATAATAATAACAACATTTCAGACATTAAAAATCAATGGAGATTTTAACATAGGGCTGTACACAATCAGGACTGGAAGCTAAGCTGAGGTGTAAGTTGTTCTACAGGTAAAATATACAGCAAGTGAACAAGTCTGAGCCTGCACTGTATTTGCTAAAGTGTGTAGAGAATGAGCACAGTAGCTAAGACTCCAGGAGCAGAAGTTTCTATGCTCAAAATGTAAATCTGGCAATTAAAAACCTGAAAGTAGTTAGAAAGTTCTGACTCGCCAGGTTAGAGTGGATTTTGTGGCTTTTAGGTAAGCCTGGGATCACTGCAATGCTGTCTCTGCGATAAGCTGCTCACGCCACCGGTCACAACGGCATTGTAAGAGCAGAGAAACCCTCTTTCTGCCATCATACCTGGTCCATCAGATTTCTTCTTGACTGGTTCCTCTTCACTGTCTTCACAGTCTGCATCAGTACCACCTGTTGAAAACAAAGAGCGCAACAGCGAGTGTCACACCTATAGAAGTGTGGGTGTGAATGCCATTCAGGATAGAAAATGCTACAGTTACCAAGCAGCAGTGACAGGTTCCTCACCTACCGCTACAACAGAAAGCACATTTCCATTTCTAAAGGACTCAAGTGAGGGGACAACACTGTCAGCATCACTGTTCCTGGTTGGCCATCCCTCTCTTGTAATTTGCCGTGGCACTTTCGTACTAGATAGGCTGCTGCACAAGATCATTTGCTGGTGCAAACCCAGGCAATTTCTCAGTCAGACTGCTTCCACCCTCAGCGGCTTCACCTTCCGCTGACTCACACTTGAGCTCGTTTTTTCAGCTTCTGCAAAGGGCAACCTGATCAGTGCCCTGATCTCCTGCCTCTGACCCAGCAAACCTGAATGAATTGCATGGGACCTTCAGACTGAAATGAAACAGCAGAGTTGGTTTGAAACTACCACGTGCTTTTATTTAGGCCTGTAGCAGAAGAGCGATGTAGAGTCGCAGGCAGGACAGAAGGACAGACAAAGGGCACTCCTTCTATCTAATGGCCAATAAATGCAGCTACAGCTTCAGCAGCAGCAGTCCAATCATAAAGCTCCCTGTTTTCAATGGGTGAAGATGCCAAACGGAGGAAAAGTCTAGCTGATTCAGCTCGAATGGGCCCCCTTCTTCCCCATCTACAGCAACCAGAAAAACTTCTGAAAGTCTGGGTTTTTTCTTATTTAAAAAAGGAGCAAAAGATGAAGAGATAGGACCAACTTAGAAACTGGGTTTTTTTTCAGAGCCATGAATGATTTTACAGTGCCAGTAAAACCCTATTAGCATTTGTATGTTGTTTTCCTTTTGCTACCTGCTGAATTCACTGTGAATTTAGGGGTTCGTGGATATTTGGGTTCCTCAGTAAGTACAGCATGGAAAGTGAAAAACAGTTCTTAATATTCTTCCCCATGTATCTACTCAAGCTTCTTTCGGGACCAAAATGGGAAAAGTGGCAAAAGGAAATAATATGTGACTATTTCATCAATTTTTTTTCCTTACAGCTCCACTTGAACTACAGCTCTTCAGGAACTTCCTCATGAAACAGTTCTTCAACACAAAACATAAGTCTGTCACATGCAAAACTTTCCCTGGGAATACACATGAAATTATCATCAAAATGAGCAACTTTGAGCAACCCTAGAAAAACCTGGAGAGTAACGTAAACCTCTTTATGAGGCGAGGGAGTAAAAGGGTAATGTCCTTGCTCTGCCTGATTCTGGCCAAACACCTAGCGTTTACACGCCCATATTCTGGAGAATGCTGTTAACTACCAGGTTATTGGCTTTATAAAGTTACACCTTTACAGGGTTATGGCTTTCTCTTGCAAGTACTCTACTTCCACAGGTGGTTTCATATAGCTGATGTTTTCTGCAATGCATTGAGTCTTCCTATTTGGCAAAAGTCCTGGGCGTGTGTCTTGCACCTCCATGGAAAACACATATATCCCCTCTTCTCCTTTACGCCCCCCAATGTGCATTGCGTAGAACAAAAGTGCGTAACTACGGTGGGCCTTGTCATGGGCTGGGGCAGGGAGAGACAGCCGGGCCAAAGGCAAACTCATTTTTCCCACTCCTAGCCAGAACTGAGAGCACTTGCCCTCTAAAACGCAGTTGCCTTTCACTACCAGGAACAACAGGCAGTCTGGTTAACACTAAGTTTTTTTTTAAAATACAGAAGTCTACCTACCATCCCCAGATCCTTTTCGCCTTCGCTTCTCCTCTTTCCTAAAACTTTTCTTCTCTTTGCGCCTCTGTCGTAGTGCTGTTTTAGGGTCAGTAATCCAAGCCTGATAAACAAACTGGAAGGAACAAACTAATTTATTTCAAGGTTCTTCATGTTTTGAGAGTAAGCCATAGAATAAGCCACAAGCAGGACTACACACTTTGAGTAAATGCATTCAGATCTGCAGGGGTAAGGAAATATTTTGAATCCCAAATCAAACACCTCCCCTGCAGATCTGCTGAGTTTTCATGTGCTATTTTTGCAAGCATAAAACCGAATGTGAAAACACTTGTGGGTGAACCAAGTTTCATTAGAACCCACAAAAATTCATGCTCTGAACTTTGGGAATTAATACCCTCTTGTGCCTATGACCTACTTCACCTGAATCTCTCCATTTAATTCTGTATCTCTACTTTATCATTTTACAGGCAAGATGCAGAGTAGTGGAAACTTTAAGAGAAAGCGCTGCGATCAACTAGCCAAAGCATCAAAAGATGCAGTGATATATCAGTACAGGTATTTGTGCTTGTACATTTTTCATACTTTGGGTATTTTTTTCCCCCCTCTGCAGATCCCAGTGGAACATTTACAGATTTCCTATCTATGCCCTGTCCCAAACCTGGCAGTCAGGAATTCCTAAAATTTCACCCTGATTTTGACAATGGCTCCCTTTCTTGCTTCAGATAAGTCACTTATGAATACTTCTGCTACTGGTTTTCCAGTTGTAAAATGAAGATGGTAATACTTACCTATATATCAAGGGGATTTTATGGGGCCAAATCCTGCTCACAGCACTCACTCAGATCAACAGTCTGTTGACCTGCATGACTACATGAAGCACGGAATTGGCCCAAAATATTTGTAAATGTTATAGCGGTGGGAAAAAAAATAAAGTGAAAAAAAAAAGTTACCCCAAACTTTTTGAATAGCTCTGCTCAAACTGTGAAGGAAGGTTAAAAAAAAAAAAAAAATCAGTAACACTCATATCTTTTTTTCCCTATACAACAAAACTAAAGTAACTGTGTCTTCTCCACAACTCTTTAGGACAAAAGATGTTCTTTTGTTGCTTTTATGTTTTTCATTGAAAAATGGTAATCATCTTCAATTGGCACTGCATTGCCTTCTATTTCTAAGCAACACAAGCTGGTTACAGAGACAGGGCAGGGAAGCACACAGATGCAGGCATGAGGGTAAAAATAAAGCACAGTAACAAACCAGCTCTATTAATTCACAAGATGAACATGCAGACAACGACACAAACACACGTGTATCTCAGTGAAGCTGGAACTGTCCCTCACAGGACAGAATGGTAAAATTTCTATTTGGTCGATTTATATTTTTTAAATTTGCATACACAAATTGCTCTGGAACATTAAAAGCATTTTTTTAAAGTGGTCAAACTGACTTTAAATTAATTTATAAGAGAGAAATACTTTGTCCTGTTCTGTGAATGGAGAGGAAATTATTTTGGTACTGTTGATAAGAACGTCCTCTTCCAAATCTCTCAAGGTCTGTACATTTATTTTTATATGTCTGACTTGTTCAAAACAAGCACCACATGAGAAAATGTGTGGGATCAGAGGCACTGGTTTCTCTTTGCCTTATAATTTGGTGTTTTCTAATAAAGGTTATCTGGGGGAATGGGGACACTTAAGTGAACCGTATTACTCACTGAAAGTCAGAAACTGTCAACATCTGCTATTGAACAGTTAGCTAGCCGCAGTCATAGTGTGAACAAAGAAATTAGCGGTAAAAGGCAGACTTGGAAGAGGGTAGAAGACCAGAATGAAGAAAGGGCATTTGATTAATAAATTCAATGTAAATACTTATGCTAAGTAGAGGATATTTTAAGACCTGAGTGGGTACATATATATGTATTACCTTAGATTTTTACCACTGGACAAACTTTAAATGCAGTCTCTTTTAGGCTTTGGAGCTAGTACACTCAATCTGTAGCATTCACTCCTTATAAATATCATGTTACATATATGGAGTGTAAAATGATATACAGTGCTCAAAGGTAGGAAATGCTAAATGTATTCAAGGAGAACAAGAAAGAAGATGCACAAGTCTTTTTTATGATCATGAAGGCCAGAAAAGTAGAGAGCTAAAAAGGGGTTTGGAGCAGAATGTGTGTTTTACAAACCTTTTACCAGCTTTCTGAGATAAATTACCATGGTGTCCACAGGATACATGCAACTTGATGTGACCACCTTGTATAGCAGTATCAGAAGAAAATGATAACTTGGGTCTGCATTTTCTCTCCAGGGTTGCACTTAGAAAAAGATAGACCACTTTTCTCATGGCTTGACCACTCCAAAAGTATCTAAATTATTGCATTTACTAGGAATGAAGCTTTGGCTGTCATTATTTTTTTAATCATTCATATAAGAGGAAAAATGCAGACGAGGACAGAGGTATACATTACATCAGGAACTATGGGAGGGGTCACATACTGAGCACTCGCAAAATGTCAAGTACCTTTGCTGCTTTGATTAAATACTGAAGAATAGTTTTAGGTAGTTTAATGACAGACTTTGGCAAGGCTAAAATGGCTGAAGCAAATTTCCCAATAGCTCTCTATAAAGAAGGATAAAGCAAGAGCAATTAGTAGAAAACAAGAAAATATTAATAAAAACTATCTACTGAATGATTGTATCTAGATTATTAAGAACAAATTCACATTCATAGGCTCCAATATGAAAAAAGATAATTTGTGATGTTCACAATAAAATCTCAATAAGATGATTCTTAACTGCCTGCATTCTCTAACAGATAAAATCTCCAAGTTAGCCCTTGAAGTGACTATTGCACACAATTTACACTGAAAGAAAACCCAACAATTATAAATAATTCTTTAGCAGGCTCTACAACAAACAAGTTCACTTTGCTAGTATTTTTATTAAAACCACGTGCATGGTAATGGAAGGCAAATAAGGCATGATAACCAATTGATGAACAAACTTTTCATAAACAAAACAACTTTTCTTTTCTATACAACTCCTCTCCTACATAAAGCTATCCAACATCTTCATGTTGCACATGTTGCAGAACGGGCCACCTATGCAGAATGTCTGACCAGAATTTTGAAATAAAGATCAGATCCTCCACCCTCAGATTAATAGTTTCAGGACTCAGCTTTAAAAAATAAGACCAAATAAACAAAACCCACAAACCCCAGAGTCAATGAAAGACTTTTATTAGTTTCTGACCTCAAGTTTAGAACTCTTTAAAATCTCAGTGCTTGGCACCAACACATCTGAACAAAATGTTGTCATAAAAAAATCAGCAGAAACAAGAATGCAAACTTTTCTCTACACCTGCATGATGACCAGAAAGAAAAATGACCTAGAAATCTGCGAGTCATTTTTATGGTCCAAGGTGAGTTAAATGCAAAATATACAAAACACTAGTTTAAATAGTAGAAAACAAAACTTACTTATCACATTCTTTTTCATCAAGATTTGTTTTGCCTTTTTTAAGGTCAGGAAAAAATCTTTCCATGTTGTCACCATGCAGGCATTTTAACAAATGTAATCAGTTGGTAATGTGATGTAAGTATATAAACTAAAGGCACATTGTACCAAGGAATTAAGTAAAATATTTCTTGTAATTCAGTAATGTCATCTGGGAAGCTTTGTTTGAAAGCTATTGGCATAAGGAATAGAAGAGCAAGGAGGCAATTTCTTGCTCTTGCTTGGGCTGGGCTTGCAGTAATGTGCCAGTTCTGCAGTGGCATGAGCTTGCATCTGGGTGGGAATACACATCTGCAAAAAGCTACCCATTCGCTTAAGCTTTTAAAGTTACAGACCTGAAAAAGTTCTGTGGTATTTCTGAAAATTCTTCAACAAGTAAAACTTTAATCTTACGAAGATTAAAGCAATCCTATACATGTGAGTATTTCAGTAACTTCTCTACCCAAGTTCTTCATTTAAGCCAGTGGATTCAATACCCGCTACTGTCTAACATCAACCAGTCCATATAACCCAGCTAGGACTTCAGCTTTTCTTTTTTTAACATTACAATATCCTCTTACTTCAAGTCTGTCACTCAAAATGCAAACATATTAATTAACATTATCCTGAAAAAGAAAGGAGAGAAAGCATTACAGTCTCCTTTTGTAATTTTAAATGCTAAGCTCTTTATAACCCAAGGATATATTTCTCTGGTCCACTAGGATCAATAATAAAAAAAATATTTTTTTTAAAGTATGTATTCTTTTCCATGAAAAGTCACTTATTTTGGGGACCATTTCTTCATGGGATAATAATATCTACTCAAAACCAGAAAACCACTGAAGCATTGTACAGCAGTGCCAGAGGCAAGACAGCTTCCTCACTTGTGTTTATTGAGAGGCAGAAAAACTAGAGCTCAGATTCTTAACCTTTGGTTTTGTATTTTTGTTTTCCTCAGGTGTAAGTGAATGAAGATATGATTTTACTATAGTTCCTGCAGGAATTTGACAATGCTTAAAACAGGCAAACTTTGCATTTTAAATTGGCAAGAAATTTCTTTTCCAATACTTTTCAGGTCTACTTTAGATGCACTGGCTGCTTTAACATATGTGCCTGTGTTATGAAAAGCCTACGTTTTTTTCCAGATGTCAACTATAAAGCAAATTACCATAAAGTACCTGAAATGCAGATTTTTTTCGAGGCTCTTCCTCTTCTTTTTTCTCCTCTTCCTCTTCCTCTTCACTATCCGTCTCAAACAAGTAATAATTTCCACTTCTGACCACTAAGTGAAACAAAATATTTTCTTATTTTTCTGAAAAGTTCTATTCTCAACTGCCCCAAGACCTATGAACCGCCAGCCAGTCATTCAAAAATTCACAACCAGGAGAGGTGAAAACAGAGAAGAAGCAAGAGATGACAAGGTCTCAGGCAATTTATTTGATGTTAGTCTGCGATACTTTGGGCATGAATGAGAACTATACAAGAACCAAGGAGAACATCACCATGAGAAGAAAATGTAAAGAAAAAGCTTGAAGTATATCAAGTTACTAGGTTACATTTTTAGAAAAAAAATGTCAGTTAAGTCTGAATTAATTGGGAACTGATGGTTATTTGAGGGACTAAAAAAACCCCAGAAGGTAAGCAAATGAATTTACATGAACAGTACCACTGGACAAAAAATACAGAACTTCTGTTTAAAATGCTGAGGCATTCTTTAAACTATGGAATGGGAGTGGTATTAGTTAATGATTTCTTCAAACATTTAAGCTTTGATGAGGTAATGGAAAACCTTGGTTTGTTTAAAAAAAAAATCACTTGGGTTCTATTAGTGTGATCACAAATGAGTTTCAGTTTTTTGCCCACGGATTCAGAAAGATTCTGAAACCTTGATACAGTAAAGATGCACAGTGAATAAGCTAGGCCTTATATCCTTGAACAGAAGCAATGTTTTTATTTCTCAGATGGTAACAGGCCTACATGAACAAACAAGGGAAACAAAAGAAATGAAAAATAAGGTAATGAGCAAGAGAAAAAATCAAAATCACAGCATTACATTCAGCAGTGAAAACTGGTAAATAATTTCCACATTTAAGCTGAAATATTTAAGGGAACAGTTACATAGCTGAAATGTCACACAATCTGGATATACGGAGCAATACATATTTATATTGAAAATTATATTTAACCCTCATTATAGGTTTCTGGAAAAGTAACAATTGCTTTAATTCAATCATACCTTGAACTCTACACAGAACCTCTGTGCACAGATGACCACATATAACTACGGTAGAAACCTCAGGGCAAGCCCACTGTGAAATTTGCCAGAACTCTATTGGATCATAACTTCAGCATCTAAAACTCCCTCACAGAGGGAATTTTGTGCCTCATGTGCCTAGTTATGACTTTCAACATCAATGAACGCCCTGCAGAGGGACAGAGAGTCCACTTCAGCTGTTCTTATTGCTGAACGGAGGTGAAAAGAAAGTTTGGAAATTTCTTGGGTCAGGCAAATCAATTATTTGGTACAGGGCCTTCTAAGAATGCCCGTTTAAAGTGCATTAAAGAGATGAACTTCTTTTAAGAGCCAGTAGTCTGCAGTCTGCAGCTCTCTTTCATAAAAAAGTATCTTATAATCAGCAACAGAAATCGTCCACACAGAAAACCAGCAGGATAAGGTCTGACATCTAGGGGAAATGTCTGCTGCAGTGCAGTTCCTTCAAGGCTCACAGTAACACCTCCTCAGACTTGGAATGCCTGAGCTGGCAGAAAACAAATCTACAGCAATCTTCCTCCAAAATTTTTAGGTTAAAGTGTATCTGAGGGGACACTATAATGTAGCATTTACGTCTCTTTTACAACTAGAGAGGGAGGTATGATTGAAAAGCAATAATGCATTCTTGCACACATCAAAATGGAGTAAGTGTCTTAGTCACATACGGGGATTACTAAAAAGACCAAATTTTACTAGTAAGATAATTCATGGCCAGACTGGACTTGGGGGCCACCTTTCCTACGACAAAATGTGACTTTCTTCTACTGAGAAAAGGGACTTGCAGGCTTCGCACCATCTCTTGCACTCCATCAGGCACAACTCTGTGCCCTAGGAGAAGCTGAGGACCCTGAAGCATGTGGCCCTAACTCATGCTGATCTTTGCAGGGCTCCATGTGTAATCCACAAGCGCAGGAGCAACCACACCTCCCTACAAGGAAGAGCATGAATGAGCATCAATGAGGAAACCCTCACTGATGTTTCCCATCTGCTCTACTCGGACCCAAATTCATTACTATGTTTCAATTCCTGTGATATACAAAATGAGGTATCTTTCCATAGAATGAAATTATAACAAGTGGTATAAAAATAACAATAAAAATCTAAATTAAATATTAGAGTTGCCATAAAACTTGGAGCTTCAGCGACCTCAATATATACACATATACAGCCACAGCCACAAACCCATTTACGGAGAGAAACAGCCACGTGCAGCAGAATGCTACGGAGTTACAGTACAGTGTTTCAAAAAGAATAGCTGGGGAATATCAGCCTATTTCCAGTTCGTGTGCCTGTGAACACCTACTGTAAGTGCCACGGTTCAGTGAGTGTGGACGCAAGCCACATGGCAGGCAACCACAGTTTGCAGGCTCAGAGTCTGATGTTTCCCACAAGGTTTTGCATTATTGCAGTAAATAATCTCAAGAATGCTCACTGTTTAAATACCAAAATGCAAGTTGCCACCTAAGAACATTAAATAATGAGGGTGAAATAACTAAAAGCCGAAGTCAATGTCTCTCTTCGAGCAGTTCTTCTTATTACAAAACCAGTGGTGAATAAACAAGAGACTGTATCCCGTTCCTTCAAAATCACTGTAGCTTGAAATTCTACAGTAAAAACTCACAAATTATAGTTTCGATCTGTTTCGTCATTGTTGTTCTTAATTAAACTACAGGGCAAGAAGTTTATTGTCATAAGACTTTTGAAAAGGGATAGGTCTCTCTAAAGTGGCAGTGTGCCCTTTAGAAAAATAAAAATAGAGGCACAGTTTACTTGTGACTTGATAGAAATAAGCATATGACATTCTGTTAAATGCTGTTGGCAAATAGATATATATATGCTGGAGTTATAAATAAATACACATAGAAAAATGAGGCAGTATGTAAACATGTAAAAGTATTACTTGGAGTAACTCCTTTAAACTAGATGACCAGGCATAATATAGACATTCATATTTAACTCGGATCAGTGCTATACACCGGAATATTTTTTAAATCTTCAGAGTTCATCAAATAGTTCTTGTCTGATTTCCCTCAACAAAGATCCAATGGCAGGATATCTGATTTGAGATTGCAGTCTACTCAGTTTTCTTGGTTTACCCATTCCATAATGTAGGGAAGAACTCTATCGCATGCCTGGACTGGTGTGATCAGAGATATTCAGCTGAGCTCTACACAGCCTAGTCCTGGGAATAGTCTTGCTGCCTTACTGTGGCACTCAGATTTCTACAGCTCACAGTAGAATGACTGATGAACCATTCAAAAAGATGTATGATGTGTGTATATGAAAAAGATATTATGACTAATCTTAGAATGTATTGGCAAACCTTCACCTTCATATTTTTAAATACATTGTGCTTTGCAGTAGGGGGGAGTTGAGACTTTTGAGGCCAAACAGGATTCTTTTTGGCACACGTTTATCTGATCTGATATTTTTCTAAGAATGCCCGAAGTATCATGAGCTAGCTATGCTTCCAACACACAGAAGTTCAAAATGTGGTTAAACTCACTCCTTGGAGATTTGGAAGTAGAAATCATTTGTTGAAAAAAACCAAGCCTTCTATCAAGTCACAATCATAAAATCAGGCATAAAACAAACAGGTCATGGGAATGCCTTCATTCTGGTCAAGGATATAAGGGTTAAATCCACACATTTGTAAGATGATTGAGAAAACCTACTGGAAGCATGATCAACCCAAGGCCGCCACCACAGCTTTTTTTTGCCCTTGGCTTTCTCTTTGTCTGCTTCTCCTAAAATAAAATATGTCCAAATATTAATTTTACAAAATGAGAAACATGTTTCTTACACTGATTAATAATTTTTAATTTCTCTCAAAAGAGCTAAAATTTCATGAGCACATCAGATGTCAGATCTACTGAATACATTCAATATTAAAATCATTCAGAAGCATGACCACTAAGCAGAAATACTCTGGTTTATGCAGCAGTTAAAACAGCATTCTACTCTGAAACAGCTAAAATGTTCAGGTTTGTGTTTTAAAACATGTAGCCACAGCTGACTGTAATTTCAGGAAGAAAATATTTTCCCTCCTCTCAAATCCCCTTACATGTCAGGCTCCAAAAATTTTAAACCCAGTTAAGTGCTGATCCCAAGTCAGCGCTAGAAATGTGGCACTAGATAGGTATCATTTTATCTGTTCCCATGCTTTAAACATTTAAAAGCACACAAACATTTCAGTGACTGAAAAAACCTCACAGCATCCAGAAAATGTTGCTGGAAAAATGTGGATGCTACCTATTTGTAACACTATGGTTTATAGGTAATTACTTTGTTCAAAACAAACCTCTCCTGCTATTCAGCTCTTTGCCAATGGTCTGAAGTTAACCGGGAGTAACCTTAAAGCAAATAATTTTCTCTAAACCTTTTGCAGTACAAAATCCCAGATTTTTTTGGCTGAATCAAACTCCAAACTGATAACTTGTTACATGCTGACAGTTTTGAGGAACAATTTATCACTTGTCCACTTATTAGGTCTATTAGGTCCTCAGTGCTCAAATGCAATTATGGTACAACAGCTAATGGTACCTTCATCATCTTCTTCAGAAACCTTCCTAATCTCCGGCCCCTCTGAGGATTCCTGGGTCATGCTTAGCATCCTCTCTTTACCCTTTTTGTATTTTTGCTGCCTGGCTTTGATGCGATCCATTCTAGCAAAAGGAAGAATCTTGTTAGATTCACGTCTTCACCCTTTTTGACCCAGCCTGAAAAACAAGTGTTAAACACATCCATACACACACACACAAACACACACACTCGCCAACACTTCTACACAAAATATCCATTCCACATTGTCATTAATCCTGCCCTTAAACATAAGGCATTAAATGGCTATGAAGGGACTGGCTGGAAGGGTCAAGCCTAGACATTTGCTCATTGCTCAGTGAGAGCTGGGTTGCCTGCTATCGCATGGCTGGTTTACCCACTCCCCCTCGACTATCTTATTATCATTTAAAAAGTAAAGAATTGCTGTCAGGAGCCACAGCACAGCAAATGAAGCTCTGGGAAAAAAGGACTTCTGCCTAATGCAGTGGGTTTCCTGAAACTTGCCCCCCTGAACCAGGGAAGTGGCTGTTGCTGCACTATTTGTGCTACATCTTCATCCCTTAAACTCTCATTCATTCCACATATCTGGAAATACAGAAGATTTAAACTGGTTCGGTTTTGTCTAGAAGTAGCCAAGCCTTCAATTCTTCTACTTGCAATCCTGTAAACTTAGCAGTTTGGTCTTTTAAGACTTCTACATTTTCACAGTTTGAAAAAAGGTAGTAAAAAAACCTGAAATCAACAGGAATGAGTTCTTTCAATACAACTGGATTACAAGCAAATGACTCACTAATTTCAATGATCAAAATACACTTAAATACTTTTATTAATCTGTCCATTTGCTACGGAAGAACCACCCACTAGAGAGGGAAAAACTCTTTCATCTCAGCTACTTGCTATTACTCAGTAGATGATTAGATTTCTTCCCCTATCATTCATCTGCTGCTGAAGTCACGCTATGTCAGGACAATTTGGTTGTTCAAAACTTCTGGCTGTGCTGAGAGTTCTCTTCATCCTAACCAGCCTAAACTGTATGAAGTACTACTGATGAACATTATTGATTGAAATGAAAGAAACACCCTCTATTGTTGAAGTCAGACAGCTTGTAAATATAAACTAGTACTTTTTAGAGAAACATAGATTAGCTTTGGTGTTATTGCAAGCCGTATAATTTCCTTGATCTTAAACTCTGCAGAATTAACAGAAAAGAATGATGTCCAGGACAGGCACATCCTGCCAATTGGGATAAGATTGAAGCACAGGGGAGAGCCAATAACAGCCCAGTACACTGAGTGGTGGGAAACTCCAGGCATGCAGGTAGGGAGCACGGTCCCTGCAGCCTTCTGATGCCTCTTCAGTTATGGAGGTGTGGAAGAAGCTGTCAGGAGTGGGCTTTGATATCTAGTTAGGAAGCAGTTATGGCTTTTCACACATGACAGTGGAGGAGCTCTGAAAGTTTTTTGCAGTTATAAAAGAAGCATGCTGGCTGCACCCAACAGAAAGTGTAGTGGCTTATTTGCTGTATAAAGAGAAAGGCTCTCCAGTTCAGTTAAGCTGAATGCAAATATTTTCGGTGAAGGGAAGCATATATATTTTGCACTCAAACACCAGAAGAGGAACCACAAATGACACAGAAGCAACAGGCACCCAGTACATTTTACCAGGAATACAGATATACAGAACAAAATCCTAATAACGGTAAAGTCAATGACAATATTGGCAACCATTGCAGCAAGGCCAGGATATTATTCCTTAGCCTATAGTGATTTCAGGCTATTTAGGTGGCTCTTAACTGCAGCTTCCCTGTCTAGGCCCCTCGTTCCAATTTCTGTTTGGTTTTTTTTTAATCCAGTTCCTGTGTGTCAGTCCACTATTTTCTAACCATCTAGGCTTGCACTTTCAAGTGAGACAGGGGTAATGTGGCACTTCTGATTAGTAATCTGCCTACCCTTGTCATGAGTTTCATTGAGGGATTGCATTTGACCGTCCTACTCTTCTTGAGATATGGGAAGTGACAAACTGAGAGAACAGCACGGTAATTAGTGGAAGGAAAGAAAGAGGGGGAAAAGACAGACTTTTCCCCCCCGTATTTCATCTGCATTGCACGCATTCATACTACACAAAATAGGATAACCCAAAACTACAGCTGAACTGGACCTCTAACAGAGAAAAAATATAGCACAGATATAGATCATCTCTTAAAGAAAAGACTATATGGTCATGTTGCTATGATAGTCAGGTGTGGAACAGTTAAAAGCTGATCTTCCTAACCTGTCATCATTGGATTTCTAAGGTTTAGAAGAACCTTGAGAATAAGCAGGAGGGCTCACATCTTCTCTGTTGATTTATAGGAAACATCTGTTTCCAATTACAATTTCAGGCTCATTGAGGAGCAGGTAAGTCAGTACATTCCACTCTTGATTCTTTATGTTAACCTCATAACCTTAGGTCCTAGAAATGTACCTCTATGTTTAAATGAAAGTTTAGATTCTGCAGTACGTTGTCTTTTTGGAAAAGACTACTCTAAAGCTACATAATATTAGAATGCCTAAGATATCTGAATGCCCAGAGCACAATTTTTATAATTGCAAAATCATAGTTCAAAACATAATCAGCATTTCTATAAAAGAAGGTGCTAGATAAATACCAACAATCAGTGAAATACATGCATATGCACGTGTATATATGTATACATTATATATACATATATATGTATACATTAAATACATACTGTCTTTTCAGTTGATCCATTGATTTTTTTTCCTCTTCAATTCTTGCCTTTACAGCCTTGACAATTGTAGCCTGGAAAAGCTCAGCACCCCTACAAGCAGAAATGGGGTCAGAAGAAGGAAAAAAAGGAGAGGAAACATAAAATGTTTCTAAGTTCCCCTTATGCCTGTTAATCACAGAGAACTCTGTGTTCCCTCTGTACACAACCTCATCTGCATGAAACAAAACTAATCCAAGGCCAGAAAGAAATAATCGATTACTCCAGAATACTGATTTGTTTACAGTCAATCCTTTCAAGATCTGGGGCCAAACATGATCCCTACTCAGCCTGTAAGTTCCCCTAGAAGCTGTTCAAGGAATTCAGTTTCCAGGCCTCAAAATGCAGAACATGGGTGGCTTCAAGGCTGAGTTAGGACTTCTTGCACACCTCCAGGATTTGGTCTTTATGGCAATTCCAGCATTATAATCACCTTGTCCCTCTGTCTCAGCCCCCTGGAAGTTGTGAGCAAAGTCCAGCTTTATCCAGGGCCATGATGAGCATAGCTTTAGCTTCACTTTTACCATCTGAACCCCACAGTGCTTTCAATCTGATGAGACAAATCCTTGAGCAAGTTTCTGGTGTGCCAAAAGAATATGGTTTCTAACTCCATCTCCTTAGAAATGTAATCGACTCATTGATTTATATGTCCAGATCACATGTCTTGGCCATTCTTCATTATCCACTCATCAGCCCTTGAAGACTCAAAGAGCCTCAAAGACTCTCTCAAAGAAGTAGCGTAGATTTAAAGCCTTTCTTTAGTCAGGAATTCAGTAAGAACAGCTATAGTTTCAGAAGTCTACTTCTAATTAATTTTTCAACAATGTTTTCTGTGAGATTAATGATTCTTCTATGTGATATGCAGATAACCACAACCACATGTTTTTCAAAGGAATACAATAAAGACCAGCAATCATTATTGCCCCAAAGTATGGTAAAGTACAAGAAAGAAGGACATGTTCTCCTTAGCAACCTGATCACTCCTAAATTCTTACGGACTATTGAAAACTGTCGCTGGATCCTCATTGTTATTGTCTGAATCACAATTTAATCTTATTTAGGTGAGGAATTTGTACTTCACAATACTAACTTTAACCAGAAGACAGGCTCAGACCATGCTGCCTGAATCCAAACCTGATTTTCTCCATTGTCTATGTAAATTCAAAGCTTGGATTTTAGCAAGGCAAGCAGCTAGCTAAAAATATTAATTATATCCCTACATTTTTATTAGCCTCCTTCCTGTAATATCTCAGCACTTCCTGGTCACTAATACATTTATCTTTAAAAAGCTCCTGACACAGGCCATTATGTCTTGACTTCTGCTGCTGGAGAACTCAAGCCTAGGTTCAGTGACTTACCAAAAGACACAAAGCTGGAAGGAAGTGGCAACCAAACGTGTTTCTTTCAACCCAGCCCAGTGTCATTTACATAAATCTGCTCTTTCCTTCTGGATGCAAACTTTCCAATTATAGGAGGCATTTTGATACTCATGGTTTTGCTTTGTGTTATTTTCACTGTGAACACAGTGTACAAAAAAGCTACAAAAGCAGTATCCAGCAATCTTGGGCATCAGCAGTGAAATTCACTCCAGAGCAAAAGTCTGAGAGGGGCAATATGGGATGGAGGTATAGTTCTTTTGATAGCCCTGTTTACAGTGGTGAATTTTGTTTAGTATGGGCAGCTAAACGTCCTCCTTTTAAAGTAATCCCTGGAGGGAGAAGAGGAGGATGACAAAAAATACTTCCTTTCAGGATATGCAAGCTAAATTTTGCTCTCAAACACAGATAGAAATCAATGTCTGTGTGTTTTTCAGGGGAAAAAAAAATGCCACAATACATTCAATCCAATATTGACAAAAGTAATTCCTTAGAAATCTTACTGAAATTAAACCCAGAATTTCTGATCTGCCTTCTCATTAAAAAACAGAAGAATGGTTGTGCTAGTGATAGCTATGAGTGGATGCTTGTGGGAAAGTGTAAGAGGTCCAAAGAGGGTGATACTTCCTTGCCACACCTACTCAGTGTTCAGTGATGTGACACTTCCCAAGTGTCCTTCCAAGCCAGATGTAATAACTTTCCTGTATTTTTCTTCATGTGACATTTCTGCAGTCTTGATTTCTAAGGCCCATTGTCTCAAACAGGCTCTGATAGCAGTGTGGTTCCTTTCCAAGGCTTAGAAACTCTGGCATTTACTCTCACATGTATTGATGTTGAGAGGATTCTGCAACATGCATCAACTTTCACAGCTTTTAAGAAAGGCTATGAAAGCACCAGCGGGTGTTTGGTAGAAAAGATGGCTTAATTTCTGTCAGATTCTCAGTTAACTTGTTTCTTCATGTGTGCTTTGTCAGAGCTGGGTTTGTAATTATGAATTCAGCATGGATTGTCTAAACCAATGTTAAATACTACGACCCTTTCGGTACTACCTATCATAAACAAATATGTACCGTAGCCACAAGAGACTTCAGCTGTTTAATTTAATTTTTTAAAACTTTATGGTACCTTGATGCTAGGATCTGAGAAGCTTTTATATCTGCAACCACATGCAGGAAGTAGTAACTCATGAAGACTCTTCTTTGCAGCAGCAAGAAAGCAAAACATATACTGTCCCAGATGATTCCTGCTTCTCCACTGGGCAGTTTACAATCTAGATTGTTGGTTGCTGGAAAAAGACACCATCAGCATAAAGACTGTTGTATTATCTATTCTTTTATAATGTTTAATCAATTAAATAATCTTAGCTTTTAAAATTATTTGAATTGAGGTCCTTTAATTAGATTTTTCTTAAGAACCTGACATGCATTTTCATTTGAAGTACACCATGTTTTCTTTTACAGCAAATTGGAAAGCTTCCAACAGTGTGGTATCGCATGAAAACTGAGAATTCACCAGAAATGAACCATTTGCAAACAAATTCACCCTATCGTAATAAGAACTTGAAAACAAAGATTGGGAAAAAAAGTATTGTTAGCCTGAAATACTTGATTTCAGTATTTTATAAAATGGCATGTTTTGATTTTTTTTTTCCATTTCAGAATGACCTTTTGTCTCATTTTCCTATTAAGAACACTATCAACATGAGAAAGAAATGTTTTATTTTTGTCAAAATAATTTTTTGACTACCACCACCTAATATTTTTATTTTTCCTCTCCACAACTCAGTTCAATGTTTCTTTCCATTGCATAAGAGAAAAAATATTTGAAACCACAAAACTGCTTCCTTTGGGGTAGGAGGAGACAGGCAGAGAGGAAATCCCATTCCTCCTACCTCTAGATTTTGGCTTGGGCTATTTCCTTCTTTCTTTCTTTCTTTCTTTGTTCTCTAAAAGACAGTTCTCTTGAGGATATTAAAAAATTAAAACTGGGTTTTGTGGAGCTAGACTATAAACTAAATGGCCTATGCTGTCCTATAGAACGGAGTAGAAGGACTCAAGGGACAGACTCTGGCTCAAAGCTGGCTTTACAATCAAGCAAGCCAGTCTAATAGGTCTGGAGGTCGAGCTCCAAGAGCTTCAAAGCCTGCTGCACCCGTTCCCTGGGGAGTCAGAAACCTGTGTCTAAGTTTCTGTTGCTGCTCAAAAAGTTTTGGATAATACAAGAACTACTGGGCACCATTTATCTTGTGAACTTGCGTCTTCGTATTTCCTTTCTTTTCCCCAACTCCCCACTTATCTATTAGGATCAGACATGAAGACAGCAATTCAGAATTTTGCTGCAGACTCACTAGGATGAAACAGTCTTTTAAATTCAGCAAAAAACACTGAAAAAAATCAGGTATTTTTCAAACTGTCAATCCAGGGTGTCAGGAAAAGGTGAAGCCAAATTAATAGCTCACTGAGAGATGAAGTGTCCTGCTCTTCATCCTTCATTCCTCCCTTCTCTCACCTCCATCCACATACACTATCCACTACCTCCCTGTTACCACCACAAATGGAATAATTGTAAAAAAAATTGCCTAAATTCACTATGTCTGCAAAAAACCCACCACTTTTATGCTGGCTTAGCCTCTTGCCATTTCAATGAGCTGAACAGGTTTACCCTTTGAGCAACTGAACGTAAGGCCTGTCACACAGGGAGGAGTGGGAGTCTGCAGCTGGGAAAAGGTCCCCTCTCCTTGAAGCTCAAGTTGTACAGCGAAACCATACCTCCAAGTATCACATCACAGGGATACAGTGTTAAGCACTAGTATCACCAAATTGTTCATTTACAGCAAACACTGGTTGTGGGTATATGTATGGTGGTGTTGATAGTTCTCTCAGTATGTGTCTCCTTTGGTGCTATGAAATATTTTCAATATTCTTTCTTGCTAGTCAATATAGGACCAAGCTGTATCAACCGAACATGCAGGTATGGTATTCTCACAAGCTAATATGTCAGGAGGGGGTACAACTTAAATACAGTAGAAGATTTTGAAGGTGATTCTTTCTTTACAGAAAATTATGAAGAAAAATGGTAGCTATACTTACGAATACGGTAGCCTTTAACAGTACAAGCCAGGCTAAATGCCTGAATCAACCAGCAACTGTTCTTAATTAATGATTCAATGTAGCCACATGCTCCTATCTGGAAAGTAACAAAATGTAACAAAACACAGCAGAAATAAAGATAAGAAAAGTATTGTACCTCTTTACATGAGTGACAAACATCACTTTTCAATAGCAAGAATTTGTTCTTTTGATTACCAGTGAGACAGGAGATATGTGGGGTTTGTTTGTGTTTTTGCAGAGAAAGTGATAGAGCTGGCACGTGATGCAATGCAACAGCTAAGCAACTTTTATAAATCAATGACTTAATCTTGCAAACGTACGTGGACAGGCTTAACACGCGCATAGCTCCATTGAATTCCCAAGCATAAAATGAAGCACATATGTAAGCATTTAGAACATTTGCAAATTCAAACCACCCATAAATCAATTTTATTTCAGTACAGTGACTTATATAAATGTAAAAAGAAAAATGTCTGCTCTTTTCAGTCCAGTACTAAAAATGTTCAAAGCTAAAAAGCAATTGCCAGGAATAAATCTAAATTTATCTTTCAAAAAGATTTAAATGACTGGCTTGTCTCAATCACCTATCAGTGCCACTGCAAGAATCCGCTCTAAAGAGTTAATTGATGTAAGAAAACATTTAATATTTTGCAGAAGAATTTGACATTTAATTATCAAATATATCTGTTTTCACCCAAATTTCATGCTAGTTTTAAAGAAAATGTAATTTTGTAGTCAACTTCGCTAATTACATTATATCACATGACAACTGCATCTAGTACTAGGCTTGAAAATTCTAGTTTTAAATAAAAGGTTTAATTAAATGTGCACTATTTATCGTCGGTATGACTAATCTTGCACTTCTTACTCATTTCTCACTCCACTGAGATTTTCACAAGACTTTACTAGGAGACACTTTAGTAGGCAAAGAAACCAGAACCTGGCCCTTTGAAAATCGCTGGTGAGCTTTCACAGAGCCCGACTGAATACAAGAGTGCACATTTTCCTATAATGTATATGCATTGCCGTTCCCTGGATATGCACTTGCAGTTTCTGAATTAAAATGGATCCTGCTTTGTGCTTGCAGAAGGCTGTGGTCCTGAAAAAGGATTTTTAATGACCACTCAATGCACTGTGCACACTTCCAATGAAACCATGGAAGTGCTCAAGGCAGAGGGAAGGCAGCAGCTACTTACCGAGAGGATGTTCTTCATTGTGATCACAAAGACATTGTAGGCAATCAGCCAGTCCCAATAACGCAGGATGCTCCTGATGGGCTTCAGCAACAGATCTCCACCAAAGAGAAGGAAATAAAAGCAGGCTACCAAGTAGCCCATGCAGAATATACTGATCCTTGTGGTTCCCGTTATGAAGATTATAGTAAGCACAAACCAGAAGAGGTAACTAAATATTATCACCTTATACATGTCTAAGTAGGACCTGGAAGTAAAAGAAGGAGAAAAAGTTATAATTTTCTGAGGGAAATGCTACCTCTCCTCTACCTGTGCTACTGGCCAACCCTTACGCCTAAGCTCTGCTGAGCATTCTCATCCCACTTCAGCATTTGGGCACCTGCTTAAGACTAACACCAAGGGGTCAGTGGGTCTTCCTGGCTCATGTACGCAATTCTAGCTCATTCATGTGCATAAGCACCTTGCTACACCCTGTCAGGGCACTTTGCATCACGCAAGACCAAGTTTTGTATCATGAAAGGGGGAAAAACATGTTTTCATCAAAGTTCATGACAGAGTGATATTATCTGGCAATGTTACATAGGCAATTTAAAAGCTATCTGAGATCATCTTTTAAGAAGTCTGAGCAGTACTAAAGTAAATCTACCTTCAAAAGCCAACTAAGTACTCCACTGCAAACAATTCTGTATTTATTGATGACTGCTAGGGAATTCAGGCTGGTTAAAAGCCTAGTTTTCAAAGACAGCTGCTAAAAATATCTTTCTCCAGTGGAGATCAACTGTAAAAGTTTTGAGGGGTAAAAGGCTTCTTCAGAATGTAAATGTGATAGAGTTTACTTAAACGTTTGCCAGGAAGCTACGAGACAGAGGTCTCTGAAATCAGCCTGGCCCACAGTGGGAAGGAGTGAGAAATAATTTGGTATTTTCAGATTCCTAAAAGTCTTGACTTAATATTGACTCGGTGAGCTTTCAAATAAGAATACCTGCCAAAGGCAATACCGAATACTACATATAGCTAAACACTGCAAAACCAACTAATTCTTAGTTTCCCCCCATTTAGTGTTTTGATTCCAGCTGTAACTGTGTTTTCAGGATCTGTTCACCCAGGCTGCAAAACTAGGTTTGTCAGGAAACCAGGCAGAGAGACAGCACTATAGGAGTACACATATACCTAAGCCAAACCATGTAAGGAGTAAATGAACTAAATGCACTGTACGAAGCCACGTAAAAAGGCCCCTGCTATTTGATGTTCTCAGGCTCAGAACTTTCTAGGAGTATGTATTTATAGTCCTACATTTATAGGCCTGTATTATACAACTCAGCTGCCGAAGCCAACCAGAGAGGCATTTAACGAAAGGTAATGAGAAAGCCCCTTTATGTTTATTTCCCCAAAACAATTAAGAAACTTGTGGACTACTGCCTGCAAAATCAAAAACGTCATGACTTTAGAGATGCTGCTGGGTTTTAGGTGATAAAACATTAACAAAGTGTCTATACACACTGGCAAAACAAAGAAGTGAAAGACATCGGTGAACAGGTCCTCACTAACTTAATATGCACTGGAAATGGTGCTCTCACTGTTTCTCTAGAAAAAAAATGACCATAATATTTGGTGTTCCTTTAATAATAACTATCGATGTGTGGGATGGCTAGGAAGAGATCACCTTCCTGATACTGCTCTAACATTTGCAATATTTCAAAAATCCTGTCCTCTGCTACCAATAAAATGCATCAGCATCTTTTGAGAAAAGCCTGAAATGGAACTGAATTGATCAAACAAACAAGAATATCTTAATACTCTTCAACAAAAATGGACTCTGACTCTTAAAGACAACTGGACCTGGCTGGATCCCAACTTTCCAACATACACACATGGCATTTGGTTGGGTCCAACAGCAGATATCACTCTCAGATTAAAACTTCCAGAAATTAGAGAGAATATAAAGAGGAAGCGAATAACTTAGCTATTTTTTCACTGTAATGTTAACCATTTGCTACATTTTAGCTGTAAAAAAAAAATTCTCAAAAGGCAGGAGGCAAGACAACTGTGTCAAGTGACAAATGATGTAGTTCTTAGAGATGGAAATATTTCTGATTTTTAAAAATATGCAATTACAAGCAAACCCAATCATAAAAATGGCTCCCAAGAATTTACCTCGGAGTGGACATTTTACAAAATGGTGTTTGAACAAGTCATCCGGGACATGTCTAACCAAAGAATAGCACCAGCTGTGCCATGTACCTCTGTGCTGGCCCAAGAACAATGCCACACTGAACACAATGGAGAGAAATACACCCGAGTAATCTCAGGTAGATAAACAATATTCCCCAAACCACACTTCTTTCATTTGCAATATGTCAAAACTCCTTGTCTGTTACGGTGTGGAGTCACACATCTCCCCAGTCATCATTAATTGTTTATAATGATATAGGTCAAGTGCTGTAAGAGCAGGAACGAAGACCTGTTTTAGGGGGGATTCCTCAACATATTGCCTCTCAAATCACTTGACACATTCTCAGATGCAAATCTTTAAATTCTGCCTCAAACCCCGGAAAGTTAGGAAGTGAGTTGTTTCAGTTCCTTGCTCTGGAGGTTATAATGCAACAGTGTGAGGCTGAAGCACAAAGCCACCCTGATAGCTAAAAAGACCTTACACAAACCCAGAAGGTCAGTAAGGGTGCTTACCCTCTGTTTGAAAACTTCTTCATAGACAGCAGAAAATGCTCAGTCTTGGATAGCATATACCATAATTTTATGTTTTCACTGCAGACCACACAGATCATTAGTTTAATGCCATGCAAACCTTCCAAACCTCATCTTCTAAGCGGTCTTTAAGTCCACATCCAGTCACAGAGATGAGAGGCCACCCTCAGGATGTGGTATTTGACAATACACCTAGGACATGCGAGCAGCTGCTTCCCTAGGGAACAGTCCCACTCCCCTTCACCCCCTCAGCTCTGCATTCCAGCCCCTTCTTTGGCTTCGGCTCTTTGCTCTGGTTTCAAGAAGCAAGTTTGAAAAAGCCTATTTATTTTGGGGGGAGGACAGATGGATGGGACACTTTTCTGCCCATTCAGCCTACAAACCAGCTCACTGCTGGTGGGATGCATGCAAAGGCAGGAGTGTGTAGCTGGAAACCAGGAATATAGCCACACATTTGAGGAAGATTAGCCACTACAGCAGTGTATCCAGAGCATCAAAATACGGCTTTTGGTAGCATGATAACCTCTGAATAAGAAATTATACAGAAGAAACCTGAAAGATGAATGAAAAATAAAAAATGCTGATCTGCTAACAGTGTCATTAGCAGAACCCTCTGATACTCTGGATAACATTTTGGAAAAACTTAGCCTATCACTTTGCTCAAAACCAAGGAATACAGAGTCTGAAGTTCATTCCACCCAACCATCAAAGTTATTGTAACCTCAGGTGGCTGTCCATATCAAATGATCTGCTTTTCTTTAATAAAGCTTTATTAGTCTTATCACAATTGCTTCAATATTTTATTTCCAGAGGAATTAATTTTTAACGGTAATACAACCCATCCGGTTGCAAAAAGATCGCTCTAGGTGTTCCCGGCATGCTTAATGATGTGTTTGGCTGTGGCCAGCCTAGTGCCTGGACCTTTGCCTGCAGGCACCGAGAGGTGCTGATG